TCTCTCGGGATTATAAATATATATCCCGAGAGATGGATAACGTATACTCCTGAATGTAAGAAATCTCTGGTTGCGGAAAATATTTGGAATCCATTGAAAGAGCAGCACGTGACAACCCATGACGTTTGACTGAATTACATGCAGAAAGAAATCATTGAGAATGACATGAACAGATAGTTGGGGGTCACAAAGTTTTATTTGTCATTTAATTTAAAGTAAACTTTAATAGAAATTTAATTTGTAATACTTGATGTTAAAAATTATGAAATACTGATGGTATGCAGATGGCATTTAATCAAATATGACAAAAAATAATTTAAAATTCATTAAAGAATTCATAATTTATTGATTGAGACTCAAAGAATTTATTTGTTATATTACCTAAAATGACATTGTTAGATTTTTTAATTAAATATATTTTTAATGCATTTTTAATTTTTTAAATATTTCGACAAGAAATATTTTGATATCAGCATTAATAAAATATTGATATTAAATATTGATAAATCTTAAGGTCTGTAATATGTATCCTCCTATGGACACATACGTCTGCATAGTTCTTAAAATGCCACTGTGACGATGGGAAACAGTCGCATAGATTCTTTAATACAGGCTTTAACTTTAACATAAGCCATGTATACGAGAAGTTATGCGACTGTTTCCAATATGTGGTACATTCGTCAGGATGTCTTCTGTAATAGGCGTGGTTTTCTCAGGTAATACAGACATTGCTTCTTCTCGCAATTTTTCCTGTTTCCTCACATTATTTGCAATATAATATAGCAAAACGCCAGCTACATTGCTAGTCTGTAACGGCTGTAGAATTATTAATAAATACTGGTACGGTAAATATGTGGATGGCACTAGTGTTCATTAACAATCCAAGCCATTACATGAGCTGTTTGTGTATCGATACTCAAAAGTTCTTCTAATATACTGCGGTCTTTTAGATTCGTATTATCTGCTGTCTTCAAAAATTTCGTTTTAGCGAATTCGACTTGTTTCTCAGTATTTAGAATTACAGAAATATATCACATTCGCTGAAACGAAATTTTTTACAAAATATGTACATTAAAAGAATTATACAATGCCGATTATGGCAGTAAGAGCAAGTTGCCTTTTAAAAATAATTTTCGACATATAAGATAAGTTATATACAAGCAAAGTACAAAAATAAAAATAATAAAAATGAAATATGTATTAATTTATAAAAAAAAGAAAACATATGAAGAATGATTAAAAGCAACAAGTTCGCGATAATTTTGCGAATAATATGTTCTCTGGCATTTAGTATAACGATTATAAATTTCGATACTTACGCATTAATTGTATCCAGAGCATGGAACAGCTTTTCGAGGTTCCGCGTCGTGCATGTACACTTTCCGTAGAAATGGCAGATTTTCCAAACGACATGTAAGGTCGAAAGTTGCTGTACACAGTTATAAATGCGTACAACAATCTTTCGACCATTGAATCATTTGTTGCGCTTCCGAGTCTACAGCAAGAAACGGTTTTAAACATCCCAGTCGGTGATTCCACGTGATTGAACACATCGCTGTTAATTATAATAATAATAGATTATCAGCTATGATAATACGAGTTTAATATAAAACTGAAATAATATAAAAGAATTTTTTTTCTAAAGTTCTGTTTCATAAATTCAACATTGTTACAAACAGAGCTTATATTTGCATCATTTTTTCATTATTTTTATTTTTATTTCAATGTGTCAGAGCTAAAAATGTTTGCATATGTTAAATCATATTTGGACGAAATAATTGTTACCTCTATAAAAGGCATAAATATGAAGAGTAAAGATTACGGTCGACCAAGGATATCCCAGGTCCAAAACTTTTGGACCAAAGTGCTCTGGTCCAGGAATATCCTTAATCGACCGTACGTATTGCCATGATTGCCAGTTTGTATTGTCAGTTTTTGCTTTTTCAAAATGCTATGTCGCGCAAAAAATGTCGAAATGGGAAATGTTCCCCTCGGATACATTTCCCGTTTCGATCTTGCGCGACATAGCATTTTCGATGGCAAACGCACATCGTTGATTCCGTGAATAAAAAATCTGGTCCGTGGCATACTTATCGGATTTCTTTAGACCTTCTACAACGTGTACGATATTGAACGATTTTTAAGATTATTAACACTCAAGTACTTCAATATATGTATAATTATACATATATTGATATAATACATAGTGATACATTGCCATAAAAGTTATAGTTAATTATAATTAAGTACAATTATAATTATAATTAACATGTATTTAAACTTAACAATTATTTAATGCAATATCGTAGAAGAGAAATACGTACCGTATTAAAATGTAAAATTATCAGTTCGCTCGTACCATGATTTTCGAAAACGCACTATCAGAATTAAAAGAAAGTATATTATACTCGAGTAATACTGCGTCAAAAAGTTAAAAAGTATGAAAAAGTTAAAAGGAATTGAATAATTTTAGTGCCGGCATATATCTTTCAATCTTTTTTCTTCTACAGATTCGACCGATGTTCCTCTTTCTTGCTCTTTGCGCACTAAACGAAAGCTAACTTCTTTCTGACGATTTGTTTTTGACCTTAATGATCGACCATCAGAGCGGTTATTGTAAAGCGTAATTAGTTATTGTTAAGAGAAAGACTCTGATCAGCGATTAGAATTTAGAATTAGTTTATTTCTTTTGTAAAGATAAAGCCACGCGTATACCACACGTATACCACGCGTATATCACGCGTATACACCACGCGTGTACTACGTGGTCGACACCACGTTTTTTTCGTAAATTGAATAAAATATATTTTTTCTTTGTTTGGAACACAGCGTGAAATTCTTATAATTTCCACATTTTGTATTAATAAATGCTCGTTGATTCTTTAAGTGTATAATTTTATATTGTCAAAAACATTGAGACAAAGAAAAGTAAGTTACCAATTTTATCTGTATGACCCATCAAATGTTTACCAAAATTTATTGCGATGAACACAACGAGATTGTTAAGAACAACGGACATTAAAATCGCCGTGTACTTATCTGAAATTACGCCACCCCGGTGAGCTCACTTCAGTGTCCTAACTACCCGTTCCGTTGTCTGTAAGAGAGAGAGTTATTCCTCGCGAGCACGTGCCTATAAAGGTTCTTATTGTCCTATTTACATGACTTTAAGATTAGACCGCGCTCTCAAGAAGACACAGGATTTGTGCGTTCGGTGTGGCGCGAGAATTACTTTCCAACACAAAACTTAAATATTATTGCCTTTATACATTGATCTAAAAGATTAAAAGTAAAAATGAAAAGAATTATCAATTTTTTTACAATTTAATTTTGTCTCTGATAGCAAAATATCCAATCCAACACTTGTCTAAATTATTTCGTTCTTGTTTTCAAATAAGTACAAAGTACATATATTGTTAATCTCATTTCATACGTCTATGTGGGTCATATATTATACATATTCCAATAAAGAAATTTATGAAAATAAAAATTAAGTTATACATCATGGTATAAAATAACAGATTTATTATACTTTTAAAACACCTACTTAATACAATAAAATACTAACTTGTTGTATTATTATCTAATAATTCTTGTGCTCCAAAACAGTCGCTTACAATTTTCCATTTATCACTCATAGCCGTAATTAAACGGTTTTGAATTCTTGTCGTCGTATCTCACTTGGCCACCGACTTTGATGAGAAACGTTAATTGGTTGGCTACCTCTGGACCTATTATTAACATATTACAGACAGAAGATAAATTTAAATAACAAACTTTTGGTATCGCGTGTTATTAAGATAAATGTTATATATGAAATAAAAATATGAATATCATTACATACAAGTATTAAAGTGAGAATTTATTTGAAATTATTATTAAAATTTAAGTTATAAAAATTAAAATACAATGTAATATGTAATAATATGTATAAATTTTTACAGTAAAAAATACAAGTAAAGTTAACATTATTTATTTAAGAAGAATGCAATTATTAGCGTTTACTTGTAATTGGCTGAGCATCAAGAGTATGAACACTATGTTCTGAAGGTGGTAGATCCGTCCAGAATTTTTGTATATTATCTTTGCCTGTTACCCTATTTCCGTTCTATATCAGAGTAGCGCTATCCATGTACATTCTTGAAATCGGCTAAGACAGATTACATATAAAATTAAAATATATAATCAAGAAAGAATACGTTGGACAGTATTATTGTTACTTATACATATTTCCGCTTGTCTAAAGATTCGTAATACAGTTTTGTGAATTCTTCTGCAGTGCGACAAGCTTGGCCAATTTTAGTCCTATAAAACGAGTGTAGATGTAAAAATATCAGAGGCAAATATAATTAAGTATTCTAAATATATATTTTACGAACCATAATAGTTGGTTTCCGCTTACACCAAAACTCAGATAATTCTCACTTGTGACGTCATAACTCAGTTGAATGCACGTTCTTTTTGCATGTTGGCAAGTGAGATTCAACTGAGTTTTTATCCACAATCGAGACCGTGTGCTTTAATCAATCTAATAAACTCACATTAAAAGTGAGATTATGGACCTGAATTATTATGCGATAACTTTATCACTAAAATAAATAGGTAAATGCAAATTTTACCTAAGTATAAAATATTCACATAACTGAGTGACTCAGATCACTTGAGTGTAAATGGAAAGCAACTATTAGATGTTTATCATAATTTATATATATATATATATATATATATATATATATATATATATATATATGTGTGTCATAATACCTGTTCCATCTTTAATTATTATATGTACATGTCGGCAAAGGGAAGCTAATTATACGTTCAAATATGTAACACACGTTTTTAATTATTTTTTTATTTATGAGCTTCGCATTTTGTGCTCGAAATAAATTCCATAATATATAACAATTAAGTCTTAATGTAATATACCGATAATGAAAAAAAGAACGAAGAAAAGGAAGAAGAGGAAGGAAAGGAAAAAAAAGAGAAAATGAATTTGTAGTCCTGTTACAAATGATTATATTTCACTTTATGTTACAAAAAGAATCTCTACTACGTATAGCGTACCATTGTTTAATAACGACAGCTCCAGGTACCACGAGTGTGGCTTGAATACGCATCTTGTTCTTTCTCCCTTTTCTTTTTTTGCCTCCTTTCCATTTTCAAAGATACTTTTGCAAATAATATCACTGAACATCTACTTAACAGCTACTTCCGAGCTAATTTAAAATGACTGGCATCTCTGCACCGATTAACTCTCAATAGATAAAAAAAATCACGAGGTTGCTACAATGGTCGGTTCTGGTTCCGGGATCATTCCTATGTTAACGTTTAACGTTTCTATTGTAACTACGGAGAAAATATAATACGCTCGTTGACACGTTCGTATATAATATGTGTATGTATAAATCGTTCGTGCTAATCTCCGCGATGTTGGTACGATTTTAGACAAATGTATTATATTAATGCCGTAACGCTAGAGAGTGCATTTACAATATGTACAAATGTTCTGGGTCCATGCTTCAAATTTCGTTACAAAGATCTTTCTCTCTTCTTTTTTATCATTTAAATTCACCAAATCCGCCCCTCGGGCCAATACAATGATTCAATACCAAATCTACACGTTGAGTTAAAGAATTATTATATAAAAGTCTCCATGAACGTTGCATAATTGATATTATAAATCGCAATTAACTTATCTCCCACGAAATATCAAATTAGTTAAGCTACACGCATATCCCACACTAGAATGCAATTAATATTTAATGCCATGATTGATCTCGTAAAATAGTTAAAAAATCGGTACAATCCTTTGATGAAACTTATAGATTTCTCAATGATTAAAATCGCAATCGAAACGTCGCGTCAAACCGCAATCATTTGTTAATATCTAGAAATCTCGAAAAACGTATTTCACGATTTAAAGAAGTAATTTGTAGTGCCGCATAATCTTATATATTAAAAATGATGTCTTTTTACTGGCTATATACAGTAAAAAGATACGGAATGCATACCGCAAAATATATCATACGATAGTGTCGTTCAGTTTCGCATCTCACAAAATTATTGCCAGGAAATACGAATCTCCGAATGGCGAAGTTTGCAAAAATATCTCGCGTAAATGCAACATGGACCCGGGTTACAGCGCAGCACGTTTGTCAAGACGTTTTTACACGCGCATCGTTACATCGAGAGCTCTTCCTTCGAAATTCTCCTAGAGATAATAATTCCAGCATACATTACACAGTCAGTTAATTCCTTAGCCTACGCCGTTACAGCTAATCGGACTCGTTAGTCGAGTCCCATTCTTCTCTCTCTCTCTCTCTCTCTCTTTTCTTTTTATACGTCTAGTCTCACGTATCGTGATCTAAACGCACCACCGTCGGGAAGCTCACCGGGCGGGACGCAATGAGAGCTTTTGTGGAAGCCTTGAGCAAATCTGTCCGCCGTCCCGATTCCTATTTATTTTACCAATCCTCGGCGGACAGATCCTGATATTATTGTTCACGATGTACCCTCTCCTTCTTAACTTCGGCTGTCTCAATCTCGCTCTGTGTTTCTTCTTCTCTTTCTTTAGCTTAATAATCTTAAACACGAACGTGACGAATAATTCGGTTGCGTACTCCTCGGGATCCTTTTCAGAAAAAAAAGCGGTTTAAATAATGTTCGAAAGACAGGCAGAAAAATCATTATGATGTATGAATTATTAACTTGAAACGCCGGTCGATAATTATAATACACGAATAATGAAAGAGCAAGGATTCCTTTTCTGAAAGAGGATTCAGGACAATTAACGGTGAGATAGCGCAACCATTTACGACGTGGAGGAACTTTGTGAAGGACGTAAATGTACAGAAAGACCGTGTCGGTCCCTCGAAAGGACAGAATTATTTTTGGCAAATGTTATCGAAGGTGTGCGCTTCCACGACTGGACATTCGTCAATTTTTTAACGACTTCGGAAATTGTGCCTTATTATCGTGATCTTTTCGAACATCAATGACAGAGATAAGCAGAAAAGTTTCAACTGTAATATAAGAAACTGCACAGATCTTATCGCTGGAACGATTTTACTGCCTCTAAAGATCTTATCGAATCGTTTAATATAACGTAGCTATTAAGTAAGTCGATAATTATGCACAATCGCCGAATTACAATGATCTTTACAATATACAGATTTATACGTTCCGATATATATCTCTGACGCGAATGTCTCTCCAGTCGCGTGGAGCAGCGCGGACGGCTAGGTAGAGTCGAGGACGAAATTTCTCGTGAAAAATAGTGAGGACAGCTTCTCGAGAAACGGAAGGATCATTCCTTTTTTTTTTGCCCGGCTCGTTCCCGACGGTGGCGCGAGGCGAGAAGGGAAGGGACGGTGGTTCTGAGACTGGCTCGGTTTTTGGACACAAATTAGCCCGACCTGTGTCTAGCGCCTAAGTGATGCGTACGAATCTCGTCGGAATTCCTTCTTTTCTACTCCCGAAGATTTAATACTTGGGATTAGAATCGACAAGTAAAATTATAGCTATTCAGAGCCGATTGCACCAACGTAGATCAGAGTGTGATTGAACGAGTGTTCCTTCTCCTCTCATCTAGGCATAATTAGCTTTAAAATCTAGAAAGAGGTCCGTTAATCGAGTTATTGCGTTACAAGTTAGTGCAGGTGACTCTTAATAAAGTAAATTAGTAATATTACACCGCGTGTTATCATTCGAACATAAAAGATCTTGATACGTATGAAACACGAGGAAAAATAAATCGCAAATAAATATAAAAATCTGAGAAAAATGCTTTATTCCGAATACGGACAGAATATGATCGACGTTGAATTGTATAAAACGGGAAATATATGCCTCCGTTCGCGACGCGCGTCGTAGACACAGGTGACGCAATAATTACAAAATATAGATATAATATAATAGCGACAACTGACCAATCGATTGATAGTCGATGAACGATCGATAAATTCTCTTTAGGTATTTGTCTTACCGCGACGAAGCCGATATACAGGCAATAGTTACAATAATAAATATACAATTGCAATAATATCGATAATAATAGCAATGATAATAAAGACAATAGCAATAGCCGCGATAACAAATTTGATTAACACAATCCATGATCATTTATGTTGTATACATATAAAAATTTATTTGCAGGACGCTCTATTACGTTTTTTTTTTAATCGCGCGCACATCACAGCATGATAATAATGATAACAATATTCATAAAATACTAACACGATTAATACTTCCTCGAAACTTTGAACAGTTACATGATCATTTTATTTGGAATGATTTATTTTGCACAATCTATAAGTTATTATATATCACTAGAGAAATATATATGTGCGTGATGCGCGACGTATCTGCAGAACATCAGAGTAAAAGAGCATCCTGCGAGATGCACTAATTGTGAGTACACTTATCACGATAATTACACTCCTACAAAAGTAGTACAAGATAGCGGTAATCAATAAAACCGTAATTAGAGCTCTTGCCGCGCGCCCCTTTGTTAAACCAAAGAACCTTTTCGCTAATCCCGTCGAACGAGATCAGCGACGATTATGCGTCAAGTGTTAGAAATTGCCTTGCGAAGCGTTTTGCCACAATAGAAAACATATACATAAAAATATAAATAAACATAACTTAACAAGGTGATAAAAAACCTGCATCGAATAGCTGCAGCTAATACAGTAATTCAATATAATAGTTAACTTCTAATGAACAATAGGTGTGTAGGTTTCAACAAGCTGCCAAGAAGTCAACGTAAAAATGATCTAGAGCCCGTTTAGGCCGTTTCTACAACAAAATCGCGAAAGAACATGATATCGCGCGTTGCGAGTTTCACAGTTAACAACGAGAAAACGTGTACCGATCTCCGATGATGAGAAATATAAGCGTTGGATACCGTGAGAACTGGAACAACCGACTCCGCGGCTCGAAGAGGAAGATATGCTGCCTAGAATTATAAAATTCCTTTTTCCAACATCGAAATAAATAGCATTCTTCATATCTTAGTATCTCGTATATAATCCTCTATAATACTGTATTCTCTTCGAGATACAAAGTACGAGTCGTTCCATTTTTCAGCGTATTAAAATATTCCTGCGTTTGGGATCGAAAAACGGTTTCTCACGGGTAAAAAGAAATCTTTAAAATAAAATAAGTGAGCATATGGGTGGACTAATTGATGCATCCGGATGGCGGGTGACCTGAGGTGGTACTACTTGGAAGATGGGTCCCTATATCGTGACTATTTTACTCGGCTACCGTTTAAAATTTTTCAAGTCTACTTGCCTACGACATTCCATCTCACTACTTTGATTATAAATGCTACCGGTCCACGCGCGATACTTAAATATTGTCTCTATGGTTTACGTGATGTAAAATTCCTCCGTCTTTCACTACCTGCAAACGGTATATACGTTCTTTTACCGCCGTGCGTTCTCCCTTTTCAACGTAAGCTTTTTTGTCCGACGAAACGTTCCGGAGACGATTATATTATACTACATTACGGACCATCAACGGAATATCCCTTGAATCGTTTAGAATACGTAAAGCGTTAATAAATAAGCGTGCTAAAGCGGTAATAGAGCTCGACGAATCGATCCGTCAATGAAACGTAGAGCGCGTTTCCTCCGTACAATAAAAACGACCGAGAATATATTCGATGGAACGCTCGCGCTGATTTAATGCACTTAACAGTTTGACACGGCTATACGCGCATCGTCGCGGAACGTATAATTTCGCGTTGAAACACGCGCGTAGCGAACTCCGCGAAACAGCGGAGGCGCCGTCAACGAAAGTGTTGTATCCTACACTCGCGTTTGTATCCTAAATTCCTCTACTAACAATAGTGGTAACACAAGGCAGAGGCTCCCCGAAGAGACTCTATGATATGGAGCAAAATCCATGGGGTGTGTGAAAAACTGAACATTTCGAAGCCCTTCAAAACGCAGCCCTTACTCCCCCGTTCACCGAGCGCGATTCTCCCCCGTATCAATGAGGACGGCGTCATCGTTCCTTTCTCTTTTTTCCCTTCTTTTCCGTTTTTTTTTTTTCATTTTCTCAAGCATTCACGCGTATCCGTCCATCCCTTTGTAAAAATACCGCGTCGCGGAAATTTCGACGCGACGAAACGATTATTACGGATAACGAGACTGCGGACGTTCTCTCTCTAACGAAGAAGTCAATTGTATACTCATTAGAGTCCTCCAGACCCGCGAAACGCGAGGCCTGGCGACGAGCAGTAGAAAAATTCGAAAAGGTTCTCAAAATCCTCGCTTCTCTCAGAATATTTTACTCCACATCTTCATCATTTTCTAGAAGAAATCTCTGCCTAAGTGGGGACGGTTCGTCTGTTGCGACAGCCGCGGCCTACCGCGCCCGTTCGCGCCGGCGGCGTGTCGCCTGGTGTTGCGCAGCTCCCGGTCGACCTCGAGCTCCTCCAGCTTCATGGTGAGACCGAGCTTCTGCTGCACCGCCAGGCGCAGCAGCTGATTCAGCGTCTTCCGGTCGTCTTCCGCCACGGTGAGCTGCCGCTGAAGCTCGTCCACTTGCGTCACGTACTCTTCGCAGCGTGCAGCGAACATTGCACGCAGACCTGGACAGCGCATGGTTAGCAGGGTTTAACACGATGTAGAGATAAGCGAGTGGGATGGAGGATGGAGGGATACTGGAATTGGAAGCATACCGGAAGTAACCCGCGGGAGATGAAGCCGAAACTAGACTCCACGAAGGAACGAGAGGCACCCTTACATATACGTATAAAAAGTTATGGCAGAAAAGAAAAATGCGTCAACCAAAAACCAGGTACATCGTAGATACTGCATCGCGTTCCGAAACAAGCGCGCGATAATGCTTGACTAGTCACACTTAGGAGAGGAATGTTACATGGCAGTATACGCTTGATAATTTTTATGCAACACAATAGTTATGGCACAGAATCAGAGAGTTTGAAAAGTCAACCGCGGTACCCCATAGTATTAACAGCAGCACGTTCATTACGACTGATAAGACCCAATTTTTAATTGACGTTAGTAGGTAAAAGTGTTAGTAGGACAAAATAGAAAAAAAGAGTTACATTATTGAATATCACAAATTGCAGGTTTTGTAAAATTATCTTGAAAAATGGGTAAGTTTAGTAAGATTCATAGGGCAACAAAATTAATATAATTACGTCTTAATTTCTTTTTTCTTTAATAGTTTTTCTATTAAATTAAAGACGTCTAATCGCGTAGGAAAGGCGAAAAGAGCTACAGAAATTAAATACTCACTCGAGAAAGTCGCGGCGTTTTCCTTCAACATTCTGAGCTCATTCCTCAGCTTGAGCATCGTCTCGTTAACGATGCTCTTCTCGTTCTCGTATTTGCTCTTCAGATTCGTTAACGCCACCTCCGCCGTGTTTTTGTTTGATTTAAGCACCGTTCTCAATGTGGCGATCTGTTCTCGCTTAGCGGACAGCAAGGCCTTTAATCTGATAACTTGTTCTTGAAGGTCCGTTACGTCCGCCTTGTTCTCATTGACAGAAGCTGAAAAAATTAAAAATTATTTATCAACGAAATTCTATATTACGTCTATATTGTAAAATAAAAACAAGTTCTTTCATAGGCATGTACTTACCCTCGCAAACGTTGCAAATATTGGACTGCATTCCTTTGACTTTAGACAATTCGATCGTGTGTTCTACGGAGCTTCTAAGATGCTTTATTTGGTCCATCGCGGTCTCTATGTGCTTCGCAATTTCTTTCGCTTTGCTGAGACTCTCCAGATCCTTAATCTTGATGTCGGTCTTGAACAGAGTTCGGCACCAGTCCATCTTGCCGTCCTCCTCCTCCTTCTCGGGCACGATCTCCGACTTCTCGTGGTCCAGCACCACTCTCGAGGGCGTCTCGCCGTTAACGGTGCACACGTGATGATAGAGCTGCGCGAGCTCGTCGGAAAGATTCTGCAGGTCGTTCTGAGCAGAATCGAGAAAACCGCCCGCTTCCGCGGTGAGTTTCGACAGAGTGGACACGTCCGACTCGAGTTGCATGCTCCTCTGTTCCGTGTCCAGGAGCTGAAACGAAGGAGGGAGATGTCAAGCGTGCGAACGAAAACGCGATACCAGGTCGCAATAAATGCGTTAGGTACGTTTTGCCTGATTGCTGCGTGTTTATCGGAAGTTCGTTCATGAGATCAGTTTGTATAGTATGTATTAAATAATTGGATAGTAGTTTTAGGTTTTCGTAGTTTTGCGAGTGCAGCATGGAGATTTTATGAGAAATATCACAGGTTGTAGATGATCTCTTTCTTCGAGCATCGTGCAAAACAGGCTCGGCGAGTTCCGTTCGACATGCTGACGTTAGATACGCACGAAATTTAGGTAGAAAGAAAGTGGTCGATTTTGACTTCTCGTTCCTAAGCGCATTCTGTCTTAAAAGCCACGTTGCATAGCATATATTACGATCCGTACGTCGTCTCTTTCGAGCACTCGATAGTGATATTTCGTTCAAATGCGTTTGATGCTAGGATCCATGTGTGAAAACACAAATAATTTATTTCTACGGCGCTCAGAGGAGTAAGACTATCATCACACGTGGATCTACATTTAATGGAGTGAATTCGTCAGTAGCTTCGAAAACATGTACGGTTAAATATATGAAGAAGTATCATCATAGACAGGAAGCGATGTGTGGATGTTGTTAGGACACTGAGAAGCGAGTACCACTGTACGGATCATCATTAGAGGAGCCAACAAGACAAATTGTTATTAAAATATCTGGTAAATACGTCAAAGGGACCACACGTAACCCAACCTTTTCTCGAAGGCTCTTCTCTGACTCGGGTATCTGAAACGCCACAATTTCTGTTCAAAGTCTATCGTTTTTGCGCGACAATTGCGCCAGTATCGCATACACTTATACTCTTGCCACTAGCAAACTCTTGTTATTTCTCTCTCATTTTTCTCTACATCTTATAACAGTCTATTTTTTTAACTTACACCTTCGCTCTTCGTCGCGAGTTTTGCAATAACGCCGTTGTGAGTACATCTCAAGAAATCGTAAGTAATATATGAATAAATGTATACCTTATTCCTCAGATTCGTCAGCTCCGTTCTCAGCTGCTGCGTGGAGTCGGACACGGTTAAACCGTTCTCCAATTCAGACAGATCTTTCTGCAACTGATTAATCTCGCGAGCAGACATGGTGCTCCACTGATGATATTGCACAACGGCCTGTAAAAAAACAGTAGCGTCATTAGCATAATATTTTATAACAAAGTAACACGAAACATTTTATTTTTTTTGTCTATTTTAATTGGAAAAAAAAGCCATATACGCGTACCTGATTGAGTTTATCTAACGTCGTCTCTTCGCTCTGCTTATCAGGCAATTTCGAGTGAAGATGATGTAGCGATTGCACATGCGCTGCCAGCTGCACTATTCGCGCAACGAACGATTGCAATTCCGCCTGGCTCTTCTCGACCGCGTACTGCGACTCGCGCAGATTTTGCGTCAGATGCGCCTTCTCGGTCTCCGCGAGCTCCAGCTGCTTCTCCAGTTTCTTCAATTCGTTCAGATGTATCTCGGAGAACAAGTCAACCTGTTTGTCGGTCGCGGACGTGCCTGGTTCCTGCGTCTTCAAGTCCGCCTCGATTCTACGCAGCGCCGGCGAATCGTCCTCGCCGTCGCTGCATATCGTCTGATCCTCGGTGATGCCGCGGATGGAGAGCGCCAGATTGCTGAGATTGTAGATCGACTCGCTATTAATCCTCTGATCCAGTTCCTTCTTCAAAGCGTACTTGGCCTCGCGCTCGGCCTGCAGCGACTCCAACGCCTCCTCCATCTGCTTCTCCGCTATTTTCTTCAGGTTCGTCAGCTCCTCCACTTGACTGTTCAGCAACTCGACCTCCTCAGTCAACCGTCGAATCTCGTGTTTGGCACCCTCGAACTCCACCTGACTGGACCGCAAACCGGACACCTGCTTCTGCAATGAGATATTCTCGTCCTCCAGCTCGGAGTAATCCTGGAGCAGGCGAGTCTCGCGGTTCCTGCACTCTCGTAATTCGGCACGTAACGACTTGCGCTCCATCTCCGTCTGCTGATGATCCTTCCCGACCTCCTCGCGCTCCTGCAGCGCGTGATCACGCTCCGCCTCCACCCGTTCCAACTCATGTCGCAACTGTAAACAATTTGTAACACGTCAAATCGCACTTCCGTTTTGCACGAGTCGATAATCGCGACCAACTGTACACAAACCTGTTTCGTTTCATTTTCTAATTCGATGATCTGCGATTGTAAAGACGTTTCCCGAGCAGCACTCTCGTTAAGAAGACTCTCTTCCTGCTCGATGCCGCTCTTCGCTGTTATTTTCGTGGTTGTCTGGAACTTTGCTAGCGCCTAAAGTAACGAAAAAATATTCAATTTATTCGGGAAGAAATATACATCTTTAAGTAGAACTGCATTTACGTGACGCACACGAGTGATAAGACTGATAAGAGTTTCAAGACTTTCTGGAGAAAAGAATTTGCTTTCTTTGAATTATAAATAATAACATATCCAATAACGCGTAAACATATTTTTTTCCAAAAACAGCATTCCAGATCAGGTAACTAAATATAGATATCTGTACATGGATTGGCCAATGCAGGCGCACTGAATGAGTCACTCTACATTCCTCTTGCAGTCAAATTGTTACGGTTGACTCTACCCTGTCCTCCTACCTGTTCTACTCCAAGAAAGAGAATCGGTATTTCTTGCCGCATACGCTCCGTATTAAACTGTTTACCGTACAGGAATTAAAAATTCACCCACGCGTCATTTCTATCGTTACACATTAATCGCCGCTGCCGATCAAACTGTCGCAAGAGTGGAATAAATTTGCTCTCCCTTTCACGGGCGTGTCGAGCGACACGCGGTCGGCGCCCCAAAGGGTTCCCGGACTCCTCGCACTAACCTCCTGCGTGATCTCCAGCTCGTGCTTCGTGTTCTCGTAGAGCGTTTCCAGGTCGTTGCACCGCTGCTGCAGGGCCGACTTCTCCTCGAGCAGCGCGAGCCCGTACTGCGCCGACTGTATCTTCTCGGTGGAGGCCAAGTCGAGCTCGCGCGACAGACGCTCGATCTCGGTCCTGAGCTCCTCGAGCCCGTCGACGGGGGCGGCCATTGCTGCCTGCACGATGACGACGACGTCGACGATGACGATGACGATGACGAGAACGACAACGACGACGAAGACGCAGCTGGTCTCCCCTCCGGCGTTGCTACTCCTCGTGCCGCTCCCGCTTCCTCCTCTCTCGTCACCCTCTACACCACCTCCTTCACCTCGCCGTTATCGCGAGTGAAACGAATGGACGCCGGTCGCCGTGGTTGCGTGACCCGTACGCGAACGCATCCTTTGGTCGATCGGCCGAGCTTTTTTCTCTTCTTTCACCTTCGACCTCCGACCTCCGACGCCTCGTGTCTTCGACGACGCGTGCGACTCCACCTCCTGGTCCTATTGGCTCTTCACATTCTACCTGATTCTACCTGTGCGGTGCGGAGAGCCACCGTCACTGACCGTCGCCGCGAGAGTTACTCCGAGCCGATTTTGACAGACGCGACGGCGGCGCGACGATGACGGCGACGACGACGACGATGATGATTCCACCACGGGGCGCGGGCGGGCGAGATCACGCGACAACCGGATGCGCGTTCCGCGGTTCTGGTTTTTAACTCGTTTCGACGTTCCGCTCGTCCATGCCAGCGCTAGAGGCCAGCCGACCCTCTCTTTCTCTCCCTCTCCAGCGTTGATAAAAGATTTTCCTCGCCGCCTACCTGACAGGCTCGCTTTATCGAGACACGTGGATGTCAGCGTTCACGCGTCGACGCCACGGGGTTATTTATATATTTCCTCTAGGGGTATACCATGGGTCCGCTCGATCATCCATTCACCTATTTTCTCCATAGCCGCTCATTCATAAAGCGTCATCCAAGTCGCTCGGCGATAACGGCCGCACATAGATAAAAATATATAATGCGTAGTTAGAAAATGGCAAACGACAGAACCGCGAAGAAACGTTTAGCCAAGTTTAGCGTTGAAGTTTATCGAAGCAAAAAGTCACGGCGATTCACCTACTCCGTTTCCACGCGGTGAAAACTCGTGCGAGACTATACCGTAGATAGAATTTCGTTCGGAAATCGCAAGAATTTATAATTCAGTCCGCGGCATTGCGTACCGTTGCTGATTAAACAATTTAGAATCGCATTGCGGAGCAAATTCTTGTGTAACAGCGCGTTAATTTAATTGGAGACTTTCTCCTCTAGAAATTCTCTGCGAGAGATTCACGAGATATATAAAACATACCAAGGCGACTGCCGATTATTAATCAGTTAATCAATCCCCGACGAGTCCATTTACGCATTTGCGATATCGACACGCAGCAGATTGCGTGTGGATCCACAGCCCGGAGCACGCGTGCGCTGGTGCAATTACGTAATTCTCATCGACGGGCGGCGATCCATGCGTGTACACGCGGGCATAACGCGTCCTCGCTAGAATCACAAAGCGTAAATTAATTGGATGGTTCGGCACGTTTGGAAAGAGCCTGAGAAATTCTAGAAGGAAAAGCGTTACCGTGTTGACTCAGGATCCAGTTAATATCCCTTGTCCCTGAATGCCTCTAGCGAGATGCTCCACAGCTTAGGGATAGCTCAGCTTTAAATCGGTTTCCGGTCATGTCACTCGATATATGTATATTACGAAGAATTTTTAGAATACGTTTTCACCATGAACAGATATTCGAGACCTACTCCTGACAATACGTTGCGAAACCACAAATTGATTCTCAGAATCAATTCCTTAAAAGTAGAAGGATCTCTGTTGAAGAGAGGAATAAGGAACGTCATACGGTTCAGGAAGGCAAACGAAAGGAAAAGAGAAGACCATTCCTTTTGCCTCTCCGTACACATTCTATTTCAAAAATTCAGTTTAAAAACATAACTTCGAATACTCCATAATCCTTTTATTACTTTGTAGCTTATTTTTTTTCTCTTCTTTCCTCTTCATCCTCGTCTTCTTCTTTTTTCTCTCTCTCACTCTCTCTCTCTCTCTCGGTTCTTCTTCTTCTTCATTTTTTTTAGTATTTATAGATTAGTTTAATATATAAGTCGAGCCGTGGACCCGGCGTGCGCATGCCGGTCGAATTAGATTCATATACTGTAACAGTCGTATTCTTTACAATATTCGTACGTAAGTCTTGTAGCAGAGACAAAAGCGCAGGTGCCCTAATCGCACTCGTTTTTTTTTTTTATATATTCTTTATAATAATTATTCGTATGCTCGTCTGGACCTCTGCCGCCGCCAACAAAACCGCGGAGACCGTGTCGCGGAGGGAATCGGTTGCATCTATCCAGACTATGTTGCTCTCGCGTGTGTGATGTGTATTCAAGTCATTCCCAGCCAGACGGTATAAAAGAGACGTTTGAGAAAAGTCTGACGACGCGTCCGAGGTATCGGGACTCCCAACTTTGAATGTGACCCGATCCATCCTTCGCTTCTCTCTAGTATCAGTGAAAGATATCCCCGAGGTAGAAAGGTACAAGATACCCTCGAAACGAAGGATGCATCAAATCCGTCGAAGAACCCGAGTTCCTAAGTCGAGTCCAATCGAGACTAGTCCTCAAAGTACACGAAGGATAATACCCCGAGCCTTCGGACACATCCGTCCCAGACACTTCGCGCGGTCCGGAATACTTGGTCCGACGTGTGTCCGCGCATTGGTAGCGCCAGAGGTCCGCGAAGGTTCCAATATAGCGAAGTACAATTTGTTTGATCCTCTCCAAGTCTCGTCGTGAGCACTAGCACACCGAAACTACGCAATGAGATCCGGTATTGTTTTTAAGTCCCGAACAGTGTGTTTAAGTGTATAAAATTGTTGCAGGACACCTGGGTTTACTATTAAGAAAAACACTCCCGGAGTGCGCCGCCGCCGCCGCCGCCCCGGGGGACGGGAAGGCGGACGTCGCCCCGGGCCTTTCTTCCACCGAGACAGTCAGTCAGGCACGCCTGGCTTCTGAACGTTAATACACAATTGTCGCTGCTGGTAGAACCACACCGGAAGTCCGCAAAGTGTACGGATCGCGCGGACGTCGCGAAAATCCCGAAGCGTTCCTCCTCGGGGACGCTAAGTCCGCGCGATCCGCCTTTCCGGCCTGAACAAAGACTCGCCGTCCGGATGACCGAATTGATAACTGCATAGTCCGCGCTGCTTGCTACTTGGCGTGAACGCGTGTGTTCCGGGGTACTCCAGATAATGTAGTCGGGATTCTAATCGCATCTTATATCCTAATTGCGTTGTTCACGTTGCGTTTTAACTTGATTGAAATGTCGCGCGGTCGGACGAGTCGCGGCTCCCGCTAACATAATTTCGTCGTGCTTGGTACGCGCTCGCGCGCGCTCCGTATCCTCTTCTTTCCCTCGTTTATATAAGAAAAAATCTCGCTTTGTACTCGCGTCGAGCTTAAAAGTGGTCGTATCCCCTTCGTATGCAACGGGGAATAATAGCCTTTTCTTTTTCCCCCTCGAATCAGTCGATTTCCTTCTACCGATCGCATCTATACGAAAAATTTCGTCCCCTACAACTTATGAGTAAGAAAAAAAAAAGAGTATTTGACCTCGGGATTATACTCTATACATGAAAAATATAATTTTTCTCGTTGAAGATACAAAAGGAGAATCGTACCATTGGAATTAGTCACCAGCAACGACCAGAGTATAAGCTAGCTTTTTACAGTACAAAATACAGCTCCTGCACATATGCATAAATATATGTATACACACATGCGCATATATATATACATATACCTAGTAACGAAGTATTTTTCAGCAACATGTAAGGATATAGTAAGGTTGGTACACTTCCTCCTGTGTGGGCTCCCCTCTTTTCGTCGCGCAGGTCCATCAATAGTCCCCGGCGCGACAGTATGAACAATATGAATCTATAGTCTTGTCATTAACAATTATGATTGTGTACGTACAAAATGTGTCAACTTGTACAGACCACCGTGTTTATATGTATATATACATATATATTGAGATGTAGCGACCATTTCGGACGTATCTTACTGGTTATTAATCGCAACGTAATTCTTTCCTTTTATGTCAGGAAAATGCACATTATTCTTCTCTCTCTTTCGCCCTACTTCGAAGTCGGAGGATATGAGTATAATTGCATATAAACCTGTAAACACTGACAATCCTACAACTATACTTCGCTTTTTGTCCGTACCTATAATGAAAACTAGACGAGTCCGGTATATATATAAAAAGAAAAAAAAGAAAATAGAAAAGGAAACGAAAGAAACGCAAAAGTGATGCACAGTAACGGCTCGGGTGAGATCCTCATTACATCCTTACACATTAAAAATTAGCGTTACTAAACATTATTTTTTTTTTATGCATTCAGGGCCGGCATGTGTTCTCGCATACTTCTTTGTCCTATTTTCCCGCGTTCCGCTTCCGAATTGCTTTTTTTTTTTATTCTTTCTTGCTTTCCTTCACTTGTCGATTTATGAGTGTCGGCTAGAGAGTTCGAGAGGGAGGACCGGAGAATACAAGATGCGTGGATGCGAAAAGTAGTGCGACGTGAGCCCGTGCCTTGTGATTCGCTCGTGAATCCGTGTGTCAAAGACATGCTTCATTTCTCAACGGACGCGCCGTTGTTTTTAACGTGGCGGCCTGTTCTTTATTATTTTTTTTTCATTTTTTTCTTGTTTGTCAATCGTAAACAGTCACGTATTGTAAAATTTACTTTATTCATACAAATGCGAGAGCCGTCAAGGATGCGCGTGGAGGTAGTTTCGCGCGTACATTCATGCCGCGCAAAACCGCCGGCCGCGCGCCAATTGCTCGGCGAGGCTACGCGTGGAGCTTCCCGAGAATCCATACATCTTGCATCGGAAAACAATGCGCGTACGAGACGATTCGAAAGTCAAGGGACAGAGGATTCATGTCTCTACTCTAAGTCAATAGAATGTTTATAATATTATTACATAGGTTGTGGTGTATGTATGCGTGTCATATGGATGTGTATATGTGCATGTGTGTCACATACGTGTAGATGTAATGTAATGTTGTAGTAATGTAATGTAATTGTAAGACGTGTTACTCGTAGGATGAACCCTGCTCTCATTCACACGTAGTAGCAAATGTATACGTGTTATATGGGTGTCGATGTGTAACAGCAATAAAAACTTAAAGACATCGTTAAGAAAAAAAAAATCCTTGCGAAGAGAACAACGGTGGGCAGAGAGGGGAAGGAGATTAGGAATAAGGGCGAGGAGGGCTTTAGGGGGGAGGGGGGGGGGGGGGGGGGAGAGCTGGCTGGCCTCCGGGAGATGGGAGCCTGGAGAGATGGAGAAATCCGTTTATGACGGACGCGCGACGTTAAATGGCTACGGCGGCGACGCCGATATTGATACTTGGCAGGCGTCAACCACGGCGTTGACGACGGAGCCACGGCGTCCTGTGCGAATTTATAAACGCACCGAGACATACGTCAACGAGACATACGTCCGCACATCCCTACCTAGCTACCATTCCCGGTAGTGGCGCGCGCGATGACGGTAAACGGCTTATCGTTATCGTTAAGCGAGCGGCACGGATTCCGGTTATCTCCTACTTCCTGTCGTCCTGATCGCATTCGCGGCTTATGTGACCAGTCTTGCCGCAAATGTAGCAAGTCTTGCCACCGGCCTCGGTGCAGTTGCGAGCGATGTGGCCCGTCTTGTTGCAGTTATAGCAGCTCTGCATCGCGAAGCGGCCGGAATCGTTGCCGCCCTCCGGGCAGCTGCGCGCCATGTGACCAGTCTTGTTGCAATTGTAACAGCTCAGCTCCGGCCCCTGCTGACAATCTTTCGCGATGTGACCGACACCGTTGCAGCGATAGCAAAGATCCTGATCCTCCTTGCACTCGCGCGCGAAGTGTCCAAATTGGTTGCATTTGAAGCACTTCTCTCGGCCTCGTCCGAAGCCGCCGTCCCTGTCGCGTCCGCGATCTCCTCTATCTTCACCGCCACCGCCTTGTGGGCACTCCCGCGCAAAGTGGCCCATACGGTTACATTTGTAACACGCGCTTGAACTCATTCGCTTGAAAGCATTCATGGGCCGTGAAAGCCGCGCCGCAATTGGAGAAGACGCGATACGTCATATTCGCGCTGCAGACCGGACGGCGAAACGAATTCGTGGGCGACCCCTCGAGGTTCGATCATTGCGTGCTCGCCAACGTGAAATTGTGTCTCAACTCGGAATTCTATCCTTACGACGACGTGAACGTGGATTTCGAGAACGACAAGTTCGCCGTGCTGTACGAGATGTACGCAAAATTTCGAGGAGCGTACTACGGGGACAGTCGCGACGACGCGCTCTTCTCCCCGCGCGAATTCGCGCGGGTAGCTCCGTTCGCGGTGATCGATTGTTCCCGTCAAAACGAATCGGTAAAAAGCGCCACCGTGGACGTGCGCATCGAGTTCGAATACAAGGAAAACTTTCCGCCGAAAACCACCGCCTTTTGTCTCATCGTTCACGATCGCGTCATCGAGTACAGTCCGCTGACCAACGTGGTGCGCAAAATTATATAACGGAAAATGCGATTGTGGAGATACCTCATCCGGGAAACGGAAAATGCGATTGTGAGGATACCTCATCCGGGAAACGGAAGAATATGGTTGTGGGATTGCTTTATCCCGGAAACGAGGAATATATAAATTCGCAGGTTCCTTCCATTGTTCCTCAAACTCTGTTAGAAACGAGCAACTTAAACGGACGTCTAATTTTTTTCCAACGCGCGCTGGCGCAATGGCGACAGCGGCAACGACGACGACGATCTTCGTCGACCTGCAGGGATTCACAGTGGGCGACAGATTCGTCGCGGAGGTGGCCGTGCTGCGAAGCGAGACGCG